GCGGGGCGGGGCGCGCGGTGAAGGGCTCCTTCGTGCGGGTTTTCAGTTTGTTTGTGGCAAATTTGTGATTTTTCTCAGCTTTATTGAAAGGTGTCGGCCGGCGCGTTTCCCTGGGCGGGGTCTGGTCAGGCTGAGGGGCCGATCCGCCCCGCGCTGAGGGCGGGCGGCGGTGTCGTCCGGTTCCCGCCGGTAGTGTCAGTTACGTTATACCCGGGCGCTAAAACCTCTCGAACTGACAACACAACTGACCTTTTCTCGGTACTTTTTGCAGGGGACACCACAGAAAGACGTTATCATAAAACCCGATGCCCCGAGCACGCTGCTTTCGGAGAAACATGCGGACTATATAGCTTCGTATGGAACAAAGAAAGATGATTACGTACGTATCGATTGGTCTTGGTACAGCTGCGCTGTGTTCACTTGATCGCAGTCGAGGGTTAGGCGCACGCGCACAAGCTGATTGCTTCTTGCCCTGCAGTCCAAAGTACGAAAGAAGGATGTCTCTGTTAATTTTCCTAGGTCTGTGATGAGTTTTGGCATGTATTATCTGAGTATAAATGTGAAGATTACCAGTTTAGCTCTAGAATTACTCTGAGACCTGGGAAATGAACTGCGTGTTGCTTCTCCATCGGCCAGAACGCCCAGGGAGTGTAGCCAGGTGTGCGCGATCGGTGGGACAGCACACTGACTCTCACACAGCCCTGCCGCGGGCGTGCTCGGTTTGGTGAACGCTTGAACGAGCAGTGGTCTGATAGTCACAGGTTGTCAGATGTGGCCCACAGCAGCGGGATTCCAGGTTCAGCGGGTGAAAAACATCAACAACTGCTTATATCTGAAGAAGAGGAAAGTTGCAGTTATTGTTACTGCCCACAAAAGAACTCCAGGCAATGTTGCTTATGATTGCTGTTCTTGCGCTTAAAAAAATCCCCCGTGTAGAAAATAATGTTATGGGGTAGTGTGGGTGATGTAATCAATGTGAGAGAATTCAGTACGACGTTTCACTTTCTAGCGCAATTTCAGATTGTGGCAGTTTTGGCACCTGGAAGTAAGTTTCATTAAATGTTAGACTTGTTATTTTTGAGTCTAGTTGGGGCGGTAATTTGAGTGGTAGTTTGGGTGCCAGGAGAGTAACTTATGACCTGAGTGAATTGGTGCCGAACTGCTTGAATGTCTTTTGTTTGACATTGAGCTACTTTGGACTAGAAAATACAGGGGCAGAAGGGAATGCAGCATGTGTAGGTACATACACGTGCCTGCGTGTATGTATGCACGTATGTATATGCACACACATGCACAATGTATGGAATATTTGTGCGTGGCTGGTACATGGTAAGTTGTCAATGCGATGGAAGATGTTTGACATATTACAAACTGCTTGTAAGTGTTAACGTGTATTTTCATCACTCTGTATTGATGATGTGCTTATCTGATTGAGAACTCAAATAATGCACTACTTAGGAGTACTGTATGTCGGAGTATTTGCGGATGAGCGGTGTTTACTGGGGGCTGACGGCAATGGATCTCATGGGGCAGCTGCACCGAATGAACAAAGAAGAAATTCTGGAGTTCATCAAATCATGTCAACATGAATGTGGCGGAATAAGTGCCAGCATAGGCCACGATCCTCATCTTCTATATACCCTCAGCGCTGTCCAGGTAAGTGTAACAGGGTCGTTTTCGAAAAAAATGTTTGTAATTTATGCACATTTTGTGCATTTACGAACCAGGTACTGTTGGATGCTTGTGGCAAAAGCTACTTCAGTCCCTTATTAAAAAGATAAAATCTAATAGACAAAACTTTAGGATTTAGCTGTATCATTTCCTAAAAAAATTGTCGGATTTGGGAACATTGTGCTTTTAATGATCGTTTAATGGTGATTGCATTCTTGATATATTTTGTAACAGTCTTGAAATACTTCTTAGCTGCAGGTTTTACTGGAGTTTTTTGTAGGTAATTTTGGATTTTATGAATTCTTATTTTACATTGAGGTAAAAGATATGTATGAACAGAATAAGAGTAAAGTTTTGGATTTTTTTAATGTATATATTACTATATGATTGCTATATATTATAACGCATTAATAAATATGTAATATTTATATAGCCTGTATATTTATGTAATATATATAATTTTGTGTAGTGTGTTTACACTTTAGTACTGTACAAAAGAAACATCGTGGTAGACAGTTCTTGTTCCTCAAATCTGCTTTTTTTGTGTATGACTTAAAAATGATACCGGTCTGCTGAGCATTTTATTTATTTATTTGGAGTGTACTTTTCCCCTGAGGAAAAAGTAATTCTCAGTCTTGTTTTTTCCACTGTAACCATCTCCATTATAGATTTAATTTCTTACTGTCTCTTGTGCATGGGATTTGGGTTGGTTTTGGTGTGGGTTTGGGTTTTTTTTTTTTTTGTTCTCCTCCTCATGCAAACAGTCGTGTTAAAAAAAAAAAAAAAAAGTACTGAAAAGGCTCAAATGCTTCTGAAGAATTACTTGATTGATTGCGTAATGTATCTCAAGTTCAATCTTATGGAAGAAATATTTAAATAGTGTTAAAAATAAATAAGATAGCATCCTGTTTTAGGAAGAAAGAGGAGTGGATTTGAAACCCTGAGGCAGAACAGAAGAATGCTGTTTTCTTGGGTCAGTGATGAGTCCTGTCATGTATTATCTGCTCTAAAGTTGATACTTA